ATAACCTCACCTAACCTGTACATTGACTTGGATCCCCCCTGGCTATTCAGTACATAACAACTACAGTATTATATACTGGAGACTATTATACAATTTAGGAAATCCTAAGTGTGAGGAAATGCTAAGAGATTATTACTATTATTAATTATAAGGGGCAAGATGCATAATAGTCATATTAGAATAGCCTTGAAGCCAAGAAGGTCCAGGGCCAAGTCCTGCTTTTGAGTCAAAGCAGCTCTATGACAAGTAATTTCACCTCACAGTGACCCAAGCAACTCCCTAAACCTATCAACTCACAGGCAAGTTGCCAATCTGCATTGTGGAAGGAAGTTTCCACACCAAGAGTGTAAGCAACTAAAATTCTAGCTCACTGCTCATCATTATAATAACTCACATCTTCCAGATTTTTAATGTTTGTAAAGTACTTCATTCACAATATTATTATTCCCATTTTATAGATAAGAAAAGAGAAGGGTCTATTCTCTGCCTACAATAGGTCATAAATGCCTACTAAGTTGGAACTGAATCGCTAGTTTTAAAAATAAAGGTGTTTTTTTTTCACTAAGTGCTCAAATCAATAGGACCTCCTTTCCCCCTTTCCATTTATTTTAGGCCAGACCTGTGTTACTTAAGAGGTATGGGGCATTCCTGGTTAGAAACTCCTTCTATCAATGCAGATCAACAATCCATAATGTTAGAGGGTTGTCTAGGCCACTGACCCACAGTCACACAGCTAGTATAAACCAAGGAAGGATTTGAACCCAGGTTTTTCCAACTTAAAGGTTGACCCTCTACCAACTTTGCCTTAATTTTCCTCCCTTTAAATATGTAGTGTTCACTCCCTACAAGTCTGACAATGATGCTGCTGACAATGATTGCTATCTCCTGGTAAAGGATAACTGAAAGGACATCATAGACACACAAGGTATTATGAGTGTAATGCAGAGAAGGATTCTTCATCACCCCTGGGAACAAATGAACAAGAACAAATGAGCTTAGATAGTTTCAAAAGATTGATGTAGAAAAAATAACTTCTGAGCTCAGAGTGACTATATCCTAGAAGAGATACACACTAATGTTCTAGAATCAACATTCGTAGACAATCTTTGCCAGTAGAGTAAGGAGAAGCGGGCATGGAGAGCTCAGAGGCAGATGAGGAGGGTGCAGGCAGGAATGATCCTGTAGAGAAATGATAGAGAGGAGGAGGAGGATTCCATGGGCAATTCCAGTAGGCTGCTGCTGCCCAGCCTCTCGGCTGCCGATACCTAAGAAGCATGGAGTTATTGCAAAGGGGCCAGGCAGACATGTGGAAATAAGCAACTAACCTTTCTGCAGACTGAATAATTTGTCTTGTACGTGTATGTTTTAGTATTTTTGAAATAAAAGCAAATGCAATTGTGATGAATAAAGTACAAATTCATTTCAAAAAACATTACTGAATTCACTGTAGCTTTCCATCACAAATTTTCTCTGCCAATTGATAATAGTACTATTATCCTGCAGATGTCTGTGAAATTTGGGGGTGTTTAAAAATAATCTTGCTATTTGAAAAGTTATGAACCATTGCTCTAGAATACATAATAATAATTGTCATTATTATTATAACTAATATTTATATAGTATTTGTTTCTGAAGCCAAACTTGAACTCAGTTCTTCCTTGACTCCAGGTCTACTGCTCTATCCACCATGTCATCTGGTTTCCTGGTTTTTAAGGAAACGAGGTAGTAGGGAGGAGGCAGATGTATCTTCAACCAGATCCATGGATGTTATATGGAATGAGAGTGAATAGGTCGGCCCTCTCATTGCTGGGCAAATACTTGAAGTTGGTTAAAGATAAAAGCCAGGGTCTATGATACAACAAAAATTCATAGCAGTCCTTTTATGGTAGCAAAGCACATTGGAAATAAAGTGCATTCCCATCATTTGGAGAATGTATAAACAAATTGTGATGCATGGGTATAAGAGAGTATTTTTCTCCCATAAGAAATAATAACTATGAAGAAATAAAGAAGTTGGAAAGACAGAAGGACAAAGGCAAAATGAAGTAAACAAAACCAGACAAACTATATGTGTGTGTGTATGTGTGTGTGTGTGTGTGTGTGTGTGTATATACATATGTATATACATATATATGTATTTACATATGACAACAATAAAGGAAATGGAAATGGAAAGAATAACCACCACAACACAACTGAACACTGCACAATTATAATGACCAAACTTGGGCCCCCCAAAAAGATACGAGGAAATGCACCTTTCCTTCTTCCTGTCAGAATCAGTTGATATGTTGGTTAGTTTAGCTGAAATGCTTTTTATTTTCTCTCTTTTTACTCTTTGTTACAAGGTTGGCCCTTTGGGCAGGGAAGGGGGAAAGATGTACTTGGAAAAGAAAATGATAAAAAAAAAATCAATAATTGTTTAAAAGTAGATTGTGTGAACAGCAAAGAACCAATTGAGGTGGGTGGTAGGGTATGATTGCTACTTTGAGGTTTTGAGGCTGAGATAGTTCTCCCCTTATGTCATCATTGGTATTTATAGTAGAGGTATTTATAGTGGTCTTTGTTGGGTCCAGCATGAAGGCTCATGCTGACTCAGAGCTCACAAATACTGTATATCAGGGATGAAAGTCATGGTCAGATCCAACCTTTCTATCACAATCAAATCAGGTGAATGGAAAAGAAATACCCAGGGAGATACATCAAACGAACACACTTTTGGTGAGGCTGTTAATTTGTCCAAATGTTCTGAAAGAACAATTTGAAATTCTGCCAAGTAAGTCACTAGACTGTTCATACCCCTTAACCCAATGATCTCACTACTGGGAATATACCACAATGAAGTCGAAGACAAAAAGAAAGGCTCCATATATGATCAAATATTCATAGCAACATTTTTTGTGATAGTAAAAAGCAGAAGGATAAAATTGGTAACTACCAGCTGAGGAATGGCTAAACAAATTGTGGCACGAATGGAATGGAATATTATTTACCCCAATTACATGAGGAATTCTGAAAAATATGGAACAACTTACATGAACTGATTCAGAATGAAGAAAGCAGGATCAAAACAACATGAATGAAAATAATACTAAAAAACTTCAGAATTCATATTAATTGCAATGGGGAGGGCAAAAGAAAGGAAGGCCACAAGCATTTATTAAGTGCCTACTGTATGCCAGGTACTGTGCTAAGCACTTTATAAATATTATCTCATTTGATCCTCTCAACAAATCATTTCAGTTCCAGAGGACAGATGGTAAAACTTGATAAGAAGGGAGTGAACTACAGGTATAGAATGTTGCACACACTGTCAGATTAAACGCTTTGTTTTCTTTAGCTGTATTTGTGGTTGTGGGTTTTTTTGTTTTTTGTGTTTGTGGTGGTATTGTTGTTAAAAGGAAGAAGAATTCTTGTAGAGGTTTATTGATACATTTTTTTAAAAGGTATCTGTAACACTTTTTTTGAAAAAAATTTTTTAGTGTTACCCATGCAGTAATAAGCCTTGAGAAGTCTAAAATGGGAAACAATATGTCTTAAAAGATGGAGATATTCACCTGCCTGAAGACACGAAGACCCTGAACTTTGTCTCCTAAATTTCCAATCTTACATCAAACACATATTAACTATGTGACTCTTGGAAAGACCATACTCTTTGCGCTAGAAAATAGTGGGAAGGTGGGGAGAGGGACATCGAGATTACTTCCAGCTTCAAAATTACGACTTTGTCTTATCTAAATCCAATAAGATTTAATAAATCATATTAGCTGTTTCATTATTACTTCCTAAATATCTTCTATTTAGGGGTGCAATCATTTACCTCATTTAAACAAAAAATCAATAGCTAAAAAACTCTGATTCAAAAATTAAATCAATGGAATAATATTAACTAATAAATTCTACTGTTGAGTTTGGGCAAAGGATCACTAAGATTTTGAGTCAGAAGTGACTATGGTGATCATAAGATTTCAAAATGGAAAGGATCTTGGAGGCCATCTTGTCCAACTCTCTTTCATTATACAGATGAGGAAACAATGCACAGAGAAGGGAAGTGCTTTGCCTATAAAAATAATAATAAGCAGAGGCAAGATTGGAACTCAGGTTCTCTGATTTTAAATTCAGTATTCTTTCCATTCCATCAGACAGAAGAATCATGAAATCATAGATCTGGTGCTGGAAAAGAACCTAGTCCAACTTCCTTATTTTTTCTAGTTGAGGAAACTGAGGCCCCTGTGAAGTGATCTATCCATGGTCACACAGGCAGTGAGCAGCAGATCCAGGATTTCAGTTCAGGGCTTCTGACCAAAGCCAGAACTTTTCCCACTGTGCCATCCAATAATAGCTAGCAGTCATATTGTACTTAAGACACTTTCTACCCATCACCTTAAGTCTCACCACAATCATGTGGGGTAGATACTGCAGATAATACTATCCTCATTTTAAAGATAAGAACTGAGCCTCCAAGAATTTAAAGTGAATTCCCCAACATCAAAGAGCTAACAAGTGTCCAGAGGCAAGATCCTCTTGATTCTATATCTAGCAGTCTCTTTATTTCCTAACTTCATGACCAATAACTCTTACACTGAGTAAATCAACAAAGATTAGTACAAATATGTGCGTCAATCAACAAACATGTGAGTAAAATGTTTATAGCTCAGGAAAGAGTGTCTGTCATTTTTCAGTCCCAATATTCAAGAGTTTTCTGATATACAGAAGACCCTTAACAAATATGACCCTTGAGCTTGTGGGGTAATGAATTAGCCCATTAGAATGGGCTCACACTCCATTAGATTGTGAGTTCCCTGAAGGCAGGTAATTTTTTCCTTTCTTTATATCCTCAGTGATAATATTAGTACAGTGCCTGGCACATAGTAGGTTCCTTACTCGATGCTTATTGACTTCACTGAGCCCAAGATAAACATTTCCTTGTATTCAGCAATCACTTTGATAACCACAACAATATATTCATATTGGTACATTTGATATTTTGCATCTCCTACCTTTAATTTCTCCAAGAAGCTCACTGGCATTTAATCTTTCCATTTTCTCCTTCCAGTCTTTTGAAAGTAGTTTTTCCATGCAGGATGAGTCTGCCACAGAGAAAAAAGAAATACAAATTTAATGAGTGTCTTTGAAACTCATAAATTCAGAAGGCTGGCTCACAGAGTCACTCTCCTATTTTAAAATTTGCACAGCTACAACAGCTACTCCAAAAAGGCTTCAGGGAAATTCAACAGCCTCCCTGGAGGTATGTTACACCGACAGAGTTTTAATCGCAAGGTTTCAGAAATTTGTCTGATGCATGAATAACAGAATGACAGATTCTGCTGCTCTAACAAGGAAAAAGGAATGGTCAGTGCCACCAGCACCCCCATCCCTAACCAGGGGTCAGTTTCTAACAGCCAAACACTGAATGAGCATACTGTTTTCTGCAATAAGATCATAGTATTGTAGATTTAAAGTTGTAAGGAAGCTGAGAGGCCCTTTAGTCTAACTCCTTCATTCCTAGAGAAGTTAAGTGACTTGACCAAGGTCATGGATTGACCAATTTTTTAATGCCTCACAGACAGGATTAATAAATTGTACTAATTGATGACATCATTGAAAATACCAAAAAGTTTATATTGACTGCTTCTTTGCATTTCCAACATAATTTAGGTAAAAACAGGTACCTGTCATTGCTCTATTGTTGGCATTTTTACCATCCTTCTGTTAAGATTCCGTAACATTTATACTTATATTTATGGAAAGGGAAGCACACACCTTGGTGTTTTCTTCCAATGAGTTTCCATATCATATGTTACTGCTTTAAATCCAAGGCTTTTTTTTTTCTTTTGAACCAAAATAAAGCTTGGCCTGGAATCCAAGAGCTATTTGAGTAATAATGGCAGGGCTTTATACGAGAAGCCAATCAACCTCAAATCATTTAGTCCTTCAAAAAAAAACCCTGAAGGAAAATTTTGATTAAAAAAAGTAGTTTCCATTTACAGAAGCTGAGAGAAATAAAGGTCAAGTTGTATGACTCTGCTGTTAAGGGGAAGGGGCTGTGACTCTTTTTATGTAAATGACCCAACAGGCCTGTTCTCATAAAAACAAATCCTTCTTGTTCCATTAACATACCATACTTTCTTTCTAAATACAGTTCAGGGATTCTAGTGATGTGGGTCATAGAGACAGTGAGGTGATTCTACTGGGCTGGACACAGACTCATGCTGATTACAGACATTTAAGAGGAAGGAAACATTCTTAGGCTCAGACGTTTGACCTTTTGTCATCAGGTTGATTATCAACAACAAATAACTGATATAAACCCCTTTAAAGTTTGCTAAATACCTTACCTATTTATTACCTTCATTTTCTTTGGCACTTGGGTGATTGTAGAGCCTACTCTCCTACTTCAACCCTCCCCACTCCTTCCACATCTTTCTCTCTGAGAACCACTGAAATCACTGCTACCTTTGCCTTTGGGATAGGTGTGCCATTGCACAACTTACCTTCTGTTAACCCTACACATAGATGTACTGTCTCCCCCAGCCAAGGAAAGAGGCTCAGAGAGAGGTTAAATAACTTGTCCTTGGTCACAAAGTTAATTATGGTGAGGCAGGATCTGAACCCCAGATCTTCCTGACCTCCCACTTGACAGTTAAATACTACACCATACTATCTCTGCAGTTATTGCTTAGCTTGACAATTCAGAGTTTCACTGTGCTATTGACATGACCCTGAGTTCTTCAAGTCTGTCCCATGAGACCATAAGATCTAGCAGATTCTACTCAAAGCAGCAAAGATTTTGAGTATGCAGCTGGTGATAGACTGCAGGTCATGGATTCATGGCCCAGCCTGGCTATGTTCAGAGATCCTTGGCAGCTCTCCAAGACTTATGAGCTGGAATCTGCAGCAGTGGAAGAGGGTCCCACACTGACCTGGGATCCCTGAAGCTGAAGTGCTTAGCTAGAGCTCACCACTCTCAGACTTTAATGTTAGTTTTTAAAAGTGCCATGTAAATGCCACAAAGCAAAAGTCATAGGGAAGGATAGAACCCTACATCTCTGAAATCTCAGTCTTTAGTAGAGTCATTCATATATTCATTAAACATATTGATCAAGTACCTATCATATGCATATCCTTGCACTAGGTAGGTATTATAGGAAATACCCAGATTAGGGCAGCTAGATGGCACAGTGGATAGAGCTCCGGCCTTGGAGTCAGGAGGATCAGAGTTCAAATCCGGCCTCAGACACATGCTACTTACTAGCTGTGTGACCCTGGGCAAGTCACTTAACCCCACATGTCTCACCAAAAATAAGAAAAAAAAGAAATACCCAGTTTATTAGATATGGATTAATCAACAAGCATTTATTAAGCACCTACTATATGCCAGGTATTACACTTGACACCAGATATACAAAGACAAAAAATAGGACAATGCCTATGCTTGAGGAGATACGTGCTAACAAGAGACAACACATATATGTGCATGTATATATATGAAAAAGAAATGCAAGGTTATTATGAAGAGAGGACACTAGATCAAGAAAAGCTTCCTACAGAACCAGGGTTGGTTTTGATCTTGGATCCACGTAGTCCCAGTAGGTCTGTCCATGGACAGACTTCAAGGGTCCCTAAACCTGAATGGTGAGAAAAATCACATCTTTATTTTCCCTAGCCACTAACAGAGGGTAGTATTTCCTTCAGTTATGATTAGAGACAAGAAACTACCATTGTGAGGAGGTGACTGTGGAAAGGGCCTGCCCCCCATAAGGTGAAGAGCTCCTTCAGGAGCAGGTAGTGCTCAAACTGCCCCTCCAAGTGAGGGCCTCATCAATCCCTCTAACTCTCAGGACTTTCCTTCCTTTCCAGTCTTTGTCTGAAAGTTAACCAATCAAACTCCACACTATCCTCTACTCTTGGAGCCCTTGGCCAAGTCCAGCCTAGATAGCTCCCACCAGAGATCCCTTGGCTCTGCACTCCCAGGGACCATTCTTCACCCCAGCCATTTTCTGTCCTTCCTGGGTGATTGTAGAGTTCATTCTCCTACTTCAACCCCCACTCCTTCTACATCTTTCTCTCTGAGAACCACTGAAATAACCACTACCTTTGCTTTTGGGATGGATGTCCCATTGCACTACTTACCTTCTGTTAAAGCCACACCTAGACTATGTTGAATTCTGTTAACCCCCCAGTCAAAGACTGTGTTGAATTTGTACTCAGTACAGTGTTTGGCATGCAGTAAATACTAAATAAATGCTTTTCATTTGCTAATTCATTCATTCACACCAATCATCCCTTCCCTGCCCCACCCCGATTCTTATTCACATACTGCTGAACTGGACTGGAGGAAATCACACCTAACTCACTGGGTACACTACAAATTATGTTATCTAACCTCAGTTGGACAAGGCAATCCTTTTACTCCTCCCTAATTGATTTTCTATCTCACAAAAAAGCTATTCCAAACTTCCTCTGCTCTACTTAATCTTCCCATATTTTCTCCTCTCTCACCTTCTATGATCACTTAATTGCTTATCTGATGGACTTTTTTTAGCTCTCATCTTTCTTGACCCTTGTGCTGCATTTTACACTACAAATGGCCCTCTCCTTAATATTTTTGCTCTCTACATTTTTATGACACTATCTCCTGGTTATCCTTCTACCTGCTGGAACATACTTTATCAGCTTCTCTTCCTGGCTCTTCTCCTATACCATGCCTTCTAATTAGGTGTTCTCCAAGGCTCCCTCCTTCAGCTACTTCTCTTCTCTTTATAAATTCTCTCAGTGAAGTGACCTCATCAGTTGCTATGTATTTAATTATCATTTCTATGCAAATGACCTATAGTGGATGTCCAACTCTTCATGACCCCATTTGGGATTTTCCTAGCAAAGATACTGGAGTGGTTTGTCATTTCCTCCTCCAGTTCATTTTATAGATAAGGAAACTGAGGCAAACAGGGTCACATAGCTAGTACATGTCTAAGGCTTGATTTGAACTCAGGTCTTCCTGACTCTAGGCCCAGTGCCTAGAGTAACACGAATAACTTATAGATCAATATATCTAGCCCTACTTTCTCTCTTGAGCAACCAACTATTGGACATTTTGAATTGCATGTCATGTCCCAGATACCTCAAAAAGTCAACACATCCCAAAGATAACTCACTATCTCTATCCCTAAACTAGTCTTAACCAATTTCCCTATTTCTGCTCAAAAGTATAACCATTATTCAATTCTCACAGATTCATAACCTCAGCATTATCCTCAATTCCTCATTCTTCTTCACCTCACTTATCCAATCAGTTGCCGAGTCTTACCATTTATACCTTTATATCTCTGACATCAGACCTCTTTACTCTGCTCACAACGATATCACCTTCATTCAGGTCCACATCACCTCTCACATAGACTTTGTAATAGCTTCTCAATCAGTTTATGCTTTAAGTCTCTCTCTGCTAACTCATCCTTCATACAGTTGTCAAAGTGATTTTCCTTAAGCATAGGATCTGACAGTGTCTCTGTGTCAAACTCAGTGGCTTCTTACAAGTGGCTTACCTCCAGGATATAATAATAATAGAAATGATAATAACAATAACAATAATAATAACTGGCATTGATATAGTGCTTAAGGGTTTGCAAAGTGCTTTACATATATTACCTCATATGATCCTAAAATAAAAACAAATTACAAACTCTTCATTTGTTTTTTAAAGATCTTCCCACACTGACCCTAGCTTATATCTCCTGTCCAATTATATATTAATATCCTCCCTGCACTCTACAGCCCAGCTAGATTGACCTTCTCTCTTCCTCACAGAAAACATTCCAACATTGTGTTTTGGCATTGCCCAATCCCCATCCTTAGCTGGAACGGGATTCGTATAGATGATTATAATGTATAGTACTAATATAATAAATGCATCCAAAGATTGGAAAATAAATGCTATGTGATGTCTAAAGGGAAGATAGTTGTTAGCTGGGAGGGAGTAAGAGGTTTTATAAAGGAGATGACATTTGATATGTTTAATATAAACGTATATATAGAACCTATATCAGATTGTACATCATGGGGGGGGAGAAAATTTAGAACTCAAAATCTT